ATGGCCCAATTCCTGAAACACTATGTACAGTGTGTCCGCTAAACCCTGAGCCCCGGCACTTTCAACGCGATGCGGTTGTCAGAATGCTTTCATGTGGCCATGCAAGCCGCTTCCTGCATGTGCTTGTATCGGACACAAAGTCAAATCGCCCTCCAAAGTCCAAAGCATTTGGTTTCTGATCCTGCTGCTCATGCCCTCGACCCCCGAATGCTTCCCGAGGAGCTGCTAAGTGATTTCGTTTGTTCGAGTTGGAACCCTTTGTTTCACGGGAAGCACCCTTTTTGAGCAAGTTACCGGCTCATAAGTTGCATAAATGGGCATCGCTTGACCCCAATTTTCTCGGTCCCAAAGTTGTCTGGAAAGTGGGAGTGCGGTGTCCTGAATAGGTACTCCCTCTGACGGCTAGCAACATGGCCGCGAACAGCCTATGCTCGCCGGGCACTTCCTTGGCTTTGCTTGACTGGAAGGTGGGCTTCGCTTAGCTTCGCGTGTGTAAGTTCGTATTGTAAATCTAAACATGGCAGAGTCCAGCTAGCCGTCGAGCCACAAGTTGCAATCACGAGCCCATCAAGTTTAGCTCGCTCGTATGGTCCGCACACTGTTCAGGTGTTCTCTCTCTCTCTCTCTCTCGCGCTCTCTCTTTGTTTCTTTGTGATCTTTGTATCTACCTATCGATCTATCTAGCTCGCTTTGTGTATATGACTTATGTATAGATGGATGGAGGTTACAAGAAAATATTGTTCATGAGTTTTCTGGGGAAGGTTATCTGTGTGTTGTCCTTGTCCTCCAACTAGGCAAACTAGCTTTAAAGTTCGAGACAGCTCCACGGACATGTGCGCAAGTGCACCGTCGAGCATCTTGCAGTAAAAGAAAAACGTGCGACACACAGGGAGCTGAAGCTCTGCCCGAGGTGGTCGCGAACTGGCCAAAGGACGCCCTTCCCAACTACGACTTGATTTTGTGCTCAGATGTCCTTTACTGGTCTGATGTGGTCCCAGATCTCGCTGCAGTTCTTGGGCGCTTGCTCCAGAATGGAAAGACGACCCTCCTTTGGTGTTGGGTCCGAAGCTTCCCGTCTTATGTGAACGGAACTCAGGGTCTGCCGCGGTCGAAGGTCCAAAAGGTCCGAGGACTTCAGGTGCTTGTGGACTCACTGCAGCATCAGGCGATGAAGCAGACTTGCGTGTTGTCCGCCGGAATCAGCGGATGCATCTTCGACACTCATCGTCGTGCTACTGATGCTAGGATAGAGCTGCATGATAATGTGTTCCCCAATTTTGCATCCGTGCAGACAGTCGCCCCAACCTGAATGCCAGTTAGGCGCAGCTCAGACCAGCATGTGGAACATACTGCGCACAGAAGGCCCCCCAAAAAACCAAGCCCGGAATGAAAGTCTCCTGTGCAGTTCTTCTGCTTGAGTTCCGATGAATTCAGGACACGAGCATGTGGCTCGTGAGCTCTGGAGGGCACTTGCTGCTCAGGCGAGCAATTGCGCTGGCATTGAAGACCCGGAACCCAAATCTCCTGCAAGCAGACCACTGAGCACAATAAGCCCTATGCACAGAGCGCCGATACTCGTCAGGGCATCGTCGTGGGCCGTTTGCCTTTGGAGAGTGGCCTCCTGCAGTCCGAGGAGACTTCGTTGGCTTCGCAGCAACGAATGGCATGCCACATACAAACGAAACACAGCACCACCCACAAGAGGTTACGTGATGAGCACTAGCAGGCTACAGATTGATCCAATGAGGCTAATTGTGACAACCTGTGCAGAATTACACGAAGGTTCCATGTTGGATACGTCTCGATGCTTCTCGGGCGAAGCATGCAGAACGACAAAGTGCACCTGTGCCACCTGTGACGAACAGATTTCTCAAATAGTGGGACCATGTACTATATCTACAGTCTGATACTGGATCACTGTGCATAGCAGACCTGGACAACTGGAGAACATGTCCCATGGACTGCTGTCTCTCCTGTGCAGAAGTGCCATTGGCACAATCACTCGGCACTGGGTCAAGTGGGAACCTTGCGGAAGCAAGCATCACACGGCAGCGCAGACTTGGACTTTCAAGGCCGGCGTACTCAGGCGGCCTTGTGAATCTCTCATCCTCCCCTAAGCCCCTTCAGCGGTATACCCCGACAGCTTTGCTTGGAGGACTTTTGCCATGTGAGCCGCCACGTCGAGGCATTTGTGGGCTGTGCTCGCGGGGGTCAGCTCGACCAGGAGCCATGCGGCATGCATTGGTGAAACACAGTCTGCTGGAGAGGGATGAGGGATTGGCACACTGCTGAAAACTGCTTTGAGCCCTCTGCAGTTGTGCTTGCGCAAGTGCGGCACGTAATTTCTACGAACTGCTAGTGTAAACTTCAAGTGACATGCACAAGAGCGGTTCTGACGGATCACGGCCAGGATGTCGCCAAAGATGCGATGTGCAACTTCGTCGTTGATGCAGACGGGTGTGTGAAGGGAGTGTATTCACATGCTTGTCCAAGCAGATGAGCTGCAAGCACGAGGTAAACTGATGCAATACAGCACTAGCGTCCGCTCGCCAAAGGCGAACCTTTGTACGGTCTCTGCCAGTCTAGAGATGTCCACACCCTAGCCCGACCTTCATTTGTAGTTGCATTGACATCCGTGATCCCCCCTAAAACCCCATCATACGGCCCAATGGGCGCTGCTGATAGCCGTGTGCGAAACTGGCGTGGGCTGTTAAACAGACGTTAGTGTTTTGTTCAGGGGCCAATGCTGTTTTGGGATATGGTCTGTCATGTGGGGCTCAGAATGAACAGCCAAAAGTTGCGGCTACAGTCTCTCCTGGCATCAATGCACATTCCAGGTGAGTATGTGTGCGCAACTCCGGTTGTGTAGAGCTCCGACACAAGTTCATCTAACGGACTCAAGCGGCATACAAGACAAGACAAGGCAGGCATGTCCATAACTGTAGGGCAAGTATCAAGTCCTTGCTTGTATCTGGCTCTCGCTTCACCGTCCACAGATCATGTTCGATCTTGAAGCCAAGCGGAGAGTGCCAACGCCCACAGGCTAACTTTTAATTTCGACCACCTCATTGAGCGCCTGAGTCTCTAGATGCTTCTCTACATTTGCTTGTACTCTACATTTGGACTTTGTGTGACTTTGCAAGGACGTGAAAGGGTCAATGGCATTGTGGTGTCGCTGTTGTTCAAGTGTTGTTGTTGCTGCCAGGTTGATTGGCTACTTAATGTGTGTCGTCGTGCAGCATCGTCAATTCTTGTTCGACTCCTTTTGGACCATGGAATCGAGGCCTCGTCCCTGAGCCCCATGCCCTAAGCATCTAAGGCATTTACTAAGCTTCAGCAGTAATGAACCGAACCCCCCGCACTTAACTCTTTGGCAGGTCGGGTCGCCCTTCCTTGACATAGGCCTCACACTGAAGGCTGGTCTGCCCGGGATTCTGCTTCTCCATCACACGATGTCACACTCGTGATGCCAATAAGAGTCTGCAGAGCTTATGTACGACGTGTTGTAATTTGAGCTGGCTCATGCTGCAGCGCTTAGCACCGCTGAGCATGATGAAATTTATGATTCAGGCTTGCTCCAGCGTTTCGGAACATGTCTTGAGAGTGGGAAGCCGGTACACATTCCGCATGTACACATGCATGTGGGTCAGAACTTGTTTCTGGGGTGATCGTGGTAATCTTACACATGCCTCTTGAAAAAACGTTTCTGGACCGAGAGTCCAAGTCTTGTCGCGAGTGCACTAGCCCGCAACCTAAGACAAAGCCCGACATCCAGGATCTGCAAAAGTTGCCAGGATCTCACAAAGAATTGTTTTGCGCAATGGTTGCAAATGCCACGCAGGCTTTAGATGCTCCAATACATAATATGGGATCAGAAACCCACGCATCAGCGGCCTTGTCAGATGCAGGCACGTGGCCCAGGCAACCGGGAACTGCCAAGTGCTGGGGTTGAGGATTCAAGAACTCGATCAGGAGGCCTTAGTTGTGTACTAAGTGCTGGTGCTGCTAGTAGTAGTAGTAGTAGTAGTAGTAGTTGTTGTTGTAGTTGTAGTAGTAGTAGTAGTCGTAGTAGTAGTAGTAGTAGTAGTAGTAGTAGTAGTAGTAGTAGCAGAACAAGGAGGAGGAGTAGGAGTCGGAGTCGGAGTAGGAGTAGGAGTCAGTAGTAGCAGAAGTGCTGGTAGCAGTCTTAGTAGTGGTCGCCGTCTTTTTCGAAGCCATAGCCGTAGTCCAAGCCATAGTCGTAGTCACAGCCTTCATGGCCACAGTCATAGTCATAGCCGTCGTCGTCGTATTAGAAGTGGTAGTAGTAGTAGTAGTAGCAGTAGTAGTAGTTGTTGTAGTTGTAGTTGTAGTTGTAGTTGTAGTTGCTGTTGTAGTTGTAGTAGTAGTAGCAGAAGAAGGAGGAGGAGTAGGAGTCGGAGTCCGAGTAGGAGTAGGAGTCAGTAGTAGCAGAAGTGCTGGTAGCAGTCTTAGTAGTGGTCGCCGTCTTTTTCGAAGCCATAGCTGTAGTCCAAGCCATAGTCGTAGTCGCAGCCTTCATGGCCACAGTCATAGTCATAGCCGTTGTCGTCGTATTAGAAGTAGTAGTAGTAGTTGTTGTAGTAGTAGCAGAAGAAGGAGGAGGAGTAGGAGTAGGAGTAGGAGTCAGTAGTAGCAGAAGTGCTGGTAGCAGTCTTAGTAGTGGTCGCCGTCTTTTTCGAAGCCATAGCCGTAGTCCAAACCATAGTCGTAGTCGCAGCCTTCATGCCACAGTCATAGTCATAGCCGTCGTCGTCGTATTAGAAGTAGTAGTGGTAGTAGTAGTAGTTGTTGTTGTAGTTGTAGTTGTAGTAGTAGTAGTAGTAGTAGTAGTAGTAGTAGTAGTAGTAGTAGTAGTAGTAGTAGTAGTAGTAGTAGTAGTAGTTAGTAGTAGTAGTAGTTAGTAGTAGTAGTAGTAGTAGTAGTAGTAGTAGTAGTAGTAGTAGTAGTAGTAGTAGTAGTAGTAGTAGTAGTAGTACTTGTAGTGGCAGAAGAAGAAGGAGGAGGAGTAGGAGTCGGAGTCGGAGTAGGGGTCAGTAGTAGCAGAAGTGCTGGCAGCAGTCTTAGTAGTGGTCGCCGTCTTTTTCGAAGCCATAGCCGTAGTCCAAGCCATAGTCGTAGTCGCAGCCTTCATGGCCACGGTCATAGTCATAGCCGTCTCGTCGTATTAGAAGTAGAAGTAGTAGTAGTAGTAGTAGTAGTAGTAGTAGTAGTAGTAGTAATAGTAGTAGTAGTAGTTGTTGTAGTTGTAGTAGTAGTAGCAGAACAAGGAGGAGGAGGAGTAGGAGTCGGAGTCGGAGTAGGAGTAGGAGTCAGTAGTAGCAGAAGTGCTGGTAGCAGTCTTAGTAGTGGTCGCCGTCTTTTTCGAAGCCATAGCCGTAGTCCAAGCCATAGTCGTAGTCGCAGCCTTCATGGCCACAGTCATAGTCATAGCCGTCGTCGTCGTACTAGAAGTAGTAGTAGTAGTAGTAGTAGTAGTAGTAGTAGTAGTAGTAGTAGTAGTGGTGGTAGTAGTAGTAGTAGTGGTAGTAGCTGCAGCAGCAGCAGCAGCAGCAGCAGCAGCAGCAGGGAGGAGCAGTAGCAGCACGAGTATGACCATCGCCGCAATAGCAATTATCTGATGTCGTTATATGACTATGTTTGCTTTCATGAATGCATAGTGCTTTGCAGCCTACGGCTTGCGAAGACAACCAGCAAGAGACTGTTCTTGCTTCTGCACTTGTTTAATCTGCATGTACCGGTTCATGAATCAGCATTGTAAACACAGCTGCAAAAATTGTAAAGTCGCTGCTTGATGCGCTTCGCAGCCACAGCTTAGCTTTGAGATGAACAGTTGCAAACTCGCCTTGGCCTGTAAGGGCTCACCGCACCAGGATGTCCGGTCTAGGAACCTCAGGGTATACTCGCATGGTTTAAAGTTTACAGGCTTGACGAGCCACGAGGCCGATGAGTCATCATATGACTCATGTATGCCCGACTGTGGCCACAGATACACCAGAACGGATGTAAGCTACCTGGGTTGAACGTCCAAAGGGTGCACTTTGTGGGACTACGACTCAGCCGCCAAGGTTCGAGGCCATGTATGCCCCATGCTTGCCGCATGCGACATATGCGCCTGCTGGTTTTATGCCACTCGCCCACGGCCGCTCACGCAGCCAGCCCGAACGAAGGACCGACTGCATAAAACTTGAAGGGGGCTTATAGAGTTGATCCTGTCGTTTCGAGATCCAGAAAGTTTCATTAGGTCAACAGTTGATTGGTGTAGCTGTTGCTGGCGAAGACTAGGCTTACCCTGTCTCGATACTCTACGCTTTCGAGCCTGTCTTTGAGCTTGGAACTTGGCAAACAGGGGAATAAAATAAATGTAGCTGATTCGATGATGATTCTGTCGCTGCTTGATAGATCTTTAGATTATTGGACTAGGATGTTTGGCTTGGCCACATCTTGGATAGACCCGAAGCAACACCCTGAAACCGTCTGCAGCGATATGCACGGTACATGCTGTTTGTATTTGCGAAATTCTCAGTTTTTATGTAGGCCGGCCAGGAGGCCGGTTCGAACTCGCGGAGAGATTCCATGGAATTCGCTATTGGCCACGGGCTGTCTCAGACCGAAGAGCTGCGGTACGGGATGCATGGCTTTGAGAGCATGACAGAGGGACTGCACTGAAAGTTCGGCCAAGACCGCTGCGCACCCCTGCACCCCCTGAATCGTGCAGGCGTGACTCAGCCTGCCAGGAGTTGGCATGCCAGCCTCGTTGCATTGCCTTTCGTCTCTAGGCCGGTGTAACAGTGTAGCATCTGCCGTACCAACACCAGGCAATAGTGCGACGAAGCCAATAGGTACTGATGCAGGGACATGACATTCCCCTTTGGAAAGGGCGCGGTTGTTTGCCTGTGGGGACAGCACTTCACGCATCGAATTTGCAATCCGTTCAAGTTGTGTCACCGTTCTTCCGATTCCCAAGCACTAAATATCAATGCCATTCACAACAGCAGCGTCCTAACTTACGGTGTCGTGTCTCGATTACGGTGGCCCTATATCGCCACCCAGAGTTTCTTGACAGAAGCTGTGGCCTTGCAGGGTGATCCTTCGTGCGAGAAGCCACAGGAGAGAGGCGCATGCTTCTTCTTGTGGTCCCTGCTAGAGCAGCTACAGTAGCGTGAAGGTGTTTCGTTCTGCGCCATGTGGCAGCCAAAGTACTTGTCGTGAACAACTAGTTTTGAGCACGCTGTGAAGTCAATTTCGGGCATCTTCGACAGAAGATTCACAATGCCGGCCCTTGACAACGGGATCTTTGCCAAAACGGCTATTGTAAGCGGCAAACACCGCGGGAGGTGGCCGTGATCACTCTTTGGCCATGGCTCGCGAACTCTGCCAAGGCACGTTTGCTTCAGCTGCGGGAAGGGTATCAGTTCAATCAGTTCTGTTGGTTTAGGCCTTTTGTTTGGCGGTCAGGTAGTTGTCTCATATCCCAGCCTG